TGTCGCCACGCCATCTTAACGTGATTTTAAAAAATAGTGATAATTTTACGTAGCGCGCGGTTTGCACTTTTCCAAGCTCCTTCCCCTAATAAATCTAGTTCTTCTCCATTTACATGTGTGGGTTTGCGTGTTTAAATCTTTTTCTTATTTTTGGTAACTGTTTTACGGCGCTTGCAACTGTATAAGGTCAGATGAGCGCGTTTGCGTGTGAGAGTGTGTATGAAACATACTCACACATATCTAGAATGTCATCTGAACCAAGGAAATCTTATCTCTTAGCTCACCTACCCTCTTTCTTTAGCCCCACCCACATTTAGAACCACCCACCGCCACTGCCCCCAAGACGCGACGCGTTTTGCTACCAAAGATTTTCTTTGTCCCCATCGCGCCTGGTTATTGTAAGATCGCCTCGCGCCCAAAGATTCTCTTCTGTAGTCTGGGCAACATCAAATGGACAACTTGTCGACCTCATTACACTGAATCTACCACATGAATTGCTCTGATTTTTGCATGCGCCTATGGATTTTAAAGGCCTAAACGGGAGTCAACACAACGCTAAATTCGAAGCCCTTTTGGTTATATCACCGGGCACCCCCCCCCCAATCCCCCTCCCTACACATACATTTTCGAGCCACTTGAATATGAAAGTAGTATTATTAGAAGTATTATGGGTCTTTACACGCTATTTTTTGTTTTTATTCTGGATTTTCATCTTCTTGGATCGATCTGAACAGCATAGCCCTGGGTTTAATATAAGGCATGTCTTGTCCTTTTTAGGGTTTATTTTTATAGAATAAAAGAGACGATCTCGATCAGCTTCTACTTAGAAATAGTTCAGTAGTTTTAGGGCCACGTTTTTTGGGCGGGGGGGGGGGGGGGGGGATTTTCAAAAATCAGCTTATTCATTTTTATTCACAAAAGCATACCTGTCATAATGATGTACTGTGATATATATGCATATGTATGCCAGACTGTGAGACTGAAGAAATAGCGAGTGAGAATGAGAGAGAGAAAAAGAGAGAGATAGAGAGAGAAAAGAGAGAGAAAAGAGAGAGATAGCGAGAGAGGGAGAGAGAAAGAGAGAGAGAGAGAGAGAGATAGAGGGAGAGGGAGAGAGAGAGAGAGGGAGAGAGAGAGAGACACAGAGAGAGACAGAGAGAGAGAGAGAGAGAGAGAGAGAGAGAGAGAGAGAGAGAGAGAGAGAGAGAGAGAGAGAGAAAGAGAGGAGAGAGAGAGAGAACGGAAATGTTTTTCTATCTGTATAGAATTAATGTTTTAATGAATGTTTCTAGTTACTCACGTTTCAACGTTATTTTGACAGTTCGTGAATTTTTATTGCATTGTATATTTTTAGTGAACACATTTTCAACCTCACTGCGAGACTGTTTTTCTGGTATAAAATTTTACACATATGCATTTATATTATATGTATAATACTTTGTTTTACGTACGCATTTGTGTCGATTAATTTTTAAGATGTGATGTCTTTTTCATTGTAATGCGCACTGAGCATCTTTTGGGAAATGGAAATGCGCAGTATAAATGCTATTTATCATTGTTATTATTATCATTATTATTATTATTATTATTATTATTATTATCATTATTATTATTATTATTATTATTATTATTTTTATTATTATTATTATTATTATTATTATTATTATTATTATTATTATTATTATTATTATGATGTAATTATTAATGAAAAAATCGACAGCAAATTGAAACGCGTGCAATCTCAAACACTGTGAATATATGGAAGAAATTTTACATGTCGTATGTATCGCAATCTGTTAATCTAAAGAAACACTTCGTCACCCACTAACCGCTGGACTCACAACATCTCAGTCTTGCGGCACACGCAGTCAGTTGAAAAAAAAAATAGGTTAAACAAACAAAAAACGAACACTCAGCTACAGTTCTTGTTCTAATCAAAGAGCCCCATGCAGACTGTAATCAAATAATAATGATTATATATACAGAAAAACCCTGTTTATATTTGTCACATAGGCACAAAAATCGAAAGTTATTAGATCTTTGGGAATTCAGAGGCGCATACGAAAACCCCCCGAGCAATTCGCCTCTAAGGTTCTGTGTAATGAGGTCGACAAGTTGTCCATTTGATGTTGTCCAAACTATAGTAGAATCTTTGTCGCCCCTGGCTCCAGCGGGTACGCTCGTTAATGTTGTCATGGACTCGTTTTCTCTCTCTAGATCTAATTTTAGACTCTTTGATGTCACTTAACGAACTGAATGTACTAGCACCACACTCTGATGTAATTCCGGTTCATTATGGTGTCCACCATTTGACTCAATTTGGAACAAAATTAAGGGCAACGTAGAAAGGTTTGCACGTAGGCCTACTCTCGACTATAGGGGATAGCAAGACTGGGAGGCTTGTGTTTGGTGACCATGGTGAGCGCGCTTTGCAGTGAAATTTTTATTGAGGGCACAGAGCGGCTGCCATAACATTGCACGTTCTGAAAATATAATGATTCAAGTCTATACTTTGCTTACAAACGGATAGAAGGCTACTATAGCGCACGGAGTAATTTATGCAAATTTAGCTTATATTTCACGTGTCAAATTATATTAGCTTTCACAAGTGAAATATGAGGATTTACTTCACCGGGAATGCAATGCTAAAACAACTCCACGTATGGTGTAACACTTTTCTAAACTTAAACACACATTGCAATTAACTGCCAGCAAATAGTAATATACAATGAATAAGGAAGAAAGAGGGGCTGGGGAAAAAAGGCAGTGAGGGTGGCGCAGACTAGTAGACTTCTAAATCTTTACATTGCACGAGCGCTTACAGAGAACGTTTTTTAGGCTCATTCTTGATCTCTACCAGTTGGATCAATCTCAAAGGGGTTTGTTCAACAAAAGGTCGTCTTTGCACTGGTAATTCTTTCGCTTCACTAATAATGCGTTGCTACTGGTTTTGTACGTAATTTTAATACGTTATCAAATCAGCGTTGAGGAAATTCGTCCCAAATTCTAAAAACTACCCACCTCCTCCCCAAGGCCTAAACCCTCAACAAATATACTGACGGTCATTAAAAACGCACCATTTTGGATTGAGCACATTTTCCACAAAAAATTTGTTCAGTGACATCAATTGAGGTTGACCAAAGTTCACAGGCAACAGAAGTTACTGATCACACAAAATTTAAAGTTCCCAGTTCAAAACTGTCTATGCGCACGCGCAACACGCAAAAATCCGATGTGTCGACCTCAAACCTAAACTTTGTTTGTCGAGACAGATTTTTTGGCTGTTAGGGAAAGATTATGTTCTGAGTATAGTAGTCCTTGGTTCACCCATAATAAAAACTGAGATTCTTTACTTTGTACGACGGATTTTTTCTGCGCAAATAATGCCACGACTTTCCATGCAAGAACGTGAAAAGGCCATTTGAATGCTCCAAGCCGGAATGGCAGCAGGGCAAGTTGCCAGGCGCATGAGCTGTAGCCCCTCGATTATTATCCTGTTGTCTCAACGAAATGCAACTTCTGGATCTACGGCAGATCGGCGACGGAGCGACCAACCGTAAGTTACAACACCAGTGCAAGACCGTTACATTAGCCAACGTCACCTTCATGACCGTTTCCTGCGAGCACCGGAAACAGGTCGTCAAGTGGTAGGTCGGCGTGGACCAGTATCTGAATGGACCGTGCGACACCGTTTGCGGGAAGCAGGACTTGCAGCCAGACGCCCGTACGTTGGTCATGTCCTCACACAGAGGCACCGTCAAAAACATTTGCAGTGGGCTAGGCAGCATTTGCAGTTGCCACGACGCTAGTGGAGGACTGTAGACTGTAGTCTTTACTAACAAGAGTCAGTTTGCCTTCTCGCACGCTGACGGGAGAAGAAGGGTCTGGAGACGCCCCGGCGAGCGCTACGCCAACTGTTGCATGCTGGAGGTCGATATATGGGGAGGAGGCAGCGTCTTGATATGGGGGCGTTCAGCCACGCTTATCGCACCCCTCTGTACTTCTTCGACCAGCCTGTGAATGCCAACACGTACCAGTAGGTTCAGCAGAATCACGTCGTGCCGTTATTTGGTCAACATGCAGAGCTGCAGTTATTCCTACTCTACAACGCCCGCCCACACACCGCTGTTCGAGCTTTTCTGCAGGCAAACAACATTGATGTCCTGCCTTGGCAATCACTGTTTCCAGACATGGCACCAATTAAGCATGTGTGGGACGAGCTTGGCCGCCGTTTGTCCCGTGGAAGACCTCTACACAATCGCCAAGAGTTGAGACGTTCTTTGACAAATGAGTGGGTACAGATTCCACAGATGTTCTTTCAGACTTGTCAATTCCCAGAGAAGACACTGTCAATCCTGTATTCAGGCCAATTGGGGACATACAGGATACTAAGGGAGGTGTTAAAAACTCAATTTACCGTTCTGATTTTTGAAAAAGGACTTTATTGACTTCATGCTTTTGTTGCTCGCGCCTAGGATACAGCCCATTATTATTGCTACTAACTTTATCATCAAGCAGACTGGGTAATAGCGACGCCAAGATATCCTTCCTAGCTTGAGTGTGCTGGAGTCCAAGCTGCTTCAGCGTCCACACAGCATTGGACCTTTTCATTTCATTTCAGCTCTGAATATTCACACAATTACCATAGAATGCCATGGTATATAATCTGTTTAAAATAACATAAACACATCATCATTATTGGAATTGTTTTGTAAGTGGTGCGTTTTTAATGACCGTCAGTATATATAAATACAAATAAAAAAGAAAGATAACTCCAGTCCATGTATCTTCTCTTGCGCGCAAATAACTCCAAGAATAAAAAAGTTAGGTAACCTAGGCCCCTAGCGGTAAAATCTGAGTCTCTTACGAGAGAGGAAGAAATGAGTTTTTTTCGTCTATTTTTTGTTTCTTGCAAATCTGGGAATTTGTTTAGATTTTCTCTTAATTTTTTTTGGATACCGAGAAGGCCTAGGATACAGCCCATTATTATTGCTACTAACTTTATCATCAAGCAGACTGGGTAATAGCGACGCCAAGATATCCTTCCTGGCTTGAGTCTGCTGGAGTCCAAGCTGCTTCAGCGTCCACACAGCCTTCTTTCTGGTGATGGCCGACGGGCTGGTCAGCTGTTTGGTCAATTTGTCCGAAGCGCGAGTCAGGAACTTCGGGGCGATGCTTAACTCTCTGCGAAGATAAAGGCGATTATTGTTCGAGGAAGGGATTTTTGTGTTCAAAGTGCCACTGACTAATTGCTAGACAACCATTTAACAGCGAAGTACTATAGCTTTCTGCCAAGATTTTGTTTTTTAAGCCATTACTGTTAACATAACTTTCTGTAAGACTGCAAACGTTGTTGATACAGAATGAAACGACCAATAATATATGTTCATAGCTTTAAATGATGGTGCCTTTAGATTAAAGACAATTCTCCGCTGGGTCAGCAAAATTAACGCTTAGAAGTCTTTCTACTATGACGTTATAGAGCACATTTTTTTTGCATACCGGCGTCTACGGCGTTGCGCGTTTATCAAGCATCTCGGTCTTTTTGCTGGGATATTGCATTTCTCTCATCTTGTGTTGGAAGCCCAACTCTAAAACGATCTAAATTGTGTCGATGGGGATGTAAAACGACTACATAAAAACTAATTTTCTGCATGCCTCGGTGTTATTCTGAATGTGGCGGAAACATCTCTTTGTATTCAAATGAGGTATCATATCCTCTAAGAAAGATGGAAAACCATGTTTCTTGATACACGTTTATTTTTCTTTGTTCTTCCGCTTGTGTCGTTCGTTGCTGCCCTTATTTTTCTTGTCTTAGTTAAGTCTGTAGCATACAACTGATATACCAATCATGATGTGATGCTATGATCTTATTTGATTAAAAAAGGACGATTTTCGATTCTCTCGCATCGATTTTTTATCATGTTTCATCTTTAAAAAAATGTCTTATCGGTTCACGTGTTGTATATCATTATTAGTATTTCGGTCTTTAAAAAGTTTACTTTTTTAGGGCACTTTATTGTTGCTACTTTTACAATCTCTCTTTATGAATGCTTATTGCTTTTACTGGTAGCTATAAACATGAGATGTTCTGCAAGAAGTTAATCTGTTTCTGAGATACAGCTTTTAGGCTATTCTCCAGAGCTTGCAAAAACCCCGATTCCGATTCCCAAGTATTGATACAGATAATTTTATTGAGATTCTCCAACTTTCTACTGGGACGGAGTATTCCATTTATCTTAGGGCGGCCTACCTCCTAAATCATACTAAAAATAATTGATATGGGGACGAGACAATCTTTTAGTAATAATTTGCAAGATGTTTAGATTGATGTAAAGGGACAATATGTTTGACAGCTACACTATTTAAAATAAATCTTACTGATAGATCTGTACTAAGCTGTCACAAACAGCAGTGAAGATCTTTGTGTCCGTAACGTCAAGAAGCTTGCTCAGCTCATCATTGACCAGCTCAAGTAAAGGAGGCACTCCAGGCGGAAACCACTCTTCTCTGACGATCTTTTGAAGAAGAGACAGTTCTTCTTCCTTTGTCAATTTCTTTGGTGGTGGCGCCATTGGCTGCAGACACAACATAAAGTAAAACAGTCTTATCTGGCTATTATACGACTGGTATTTTGGAATTTTAATTTTTTTTTTACTCCATCTTACGACACCAAGCAACAACAACAACAAAACAAATAATAAAATAATAATAATGGATTGCATTTATATAGCGCATATCCACTTATGCAATGCCCTATGCGCTTAACATGATACATATTATGGATTTACAAATCAATTTTAAAGGTACATAGTGTTACATACACGTGCAAACACGTCATATTCACTCACGCACGCACCACACACACATACATACATACATACATACAAACATACGTACATATGCACATACGCACAAACAAACTCACAACGATCTACAGCTTGGATGGATTCTGTCTAATCGGAATATGATGAAAGTAGAAATGCTTTTAGTTTCTTCTTTAAAATTTCTAGATTTTCTGCTTCTCTGATAGTTTTTGGAAGCCTATTCCAAACAAGTGGGGCAAAATATGAAAAAGAGCGTTGGCCATATGATTTGTAATTTATTTTGGGCTTAACAAGGGTTTTTTTGTCACTTGATGATCTGAGCGTTCTTGGAGGCACAGAGGGTATTAAGAGCTGTTTTAGATAGTCCGGTGATAAATCATTTAAGCACTTGTAGCAAGTAAAACAGATTTTATATATGATACGCTCTTTCACTGGGAGCCAGTGTAATGCTTTCAAAATAGGAGTCACATGATCATGCTTTAGTTTTTTAGTAATTATTTTGGCAGCAATATTTTGTACTCTTTGTAGTTGTTGAAACTATTCATCAGGTACACCAGCCAGTAAGGAATTGCAATAATCAATCCTTGACAATATAAGTGATGTTATTAAAGTTTTGGTGACACCAACAGATAACAACAACAAAAAAGAAGTATTACAGAAGTACCTGACTTCTCTACACTACCACTAATGCCACCATCACTACAGCCACAACCGTCACCACCACCACCACCAAAACCAACATTTACTGATTGCAACAGAGATTCGAAGGAACACGGAAAAGTTTGTTTTTTTTCAAAGAAAAACATCCGCCTGGGGAACAGCGACAGTGCAAAACGAATACCTCCAGTTGATGGTATTCAGCGTGGTATGGATATTCAACTTTTTTAGTACGTTAAAATTTAAAAGAGTGAACAAACTCAATAATTTCCCCCTCAATCTTTTCATTCTTTTTTTTTTTGGCTTGTGTTTTACGGCGCTCGCAATTGCAAAAGGACATGAGCCATGAGCCTGCGGAACACATTAAACATTTTCAATGGTAGGAAATGTTGAAATTTGCGCGGATGGCGGCTGAAGCCTACTCTTATCGATTTTCATTAACGTGCACAACTTGCACCCGGGACCTCCGCGATTTTTGCCTTTTTCCGAGAAAGCTAGGCTCGGATCTTTCCTACCTTTCAGGGGTGTATCTAAAAGACAACAGTAGAAAGGAACCAGAGAGGTAGCAGTAGAAAGGCTGCAGAAAGAGTTTGGAGCCCAGAGGAGGGGGAAAAGGAGGTGAGAGGGTGGGGGCAGAAAGTGGAAGTGAAAGCAGACTACAAAACATAGCAAAAGAGCAGAAAAAGAGCGAAAGGAGAGAATTTTAGTTTAGAAAAATTTCCGTCGCGGCCGGATTCGAACCAGAGATTTAAAGAGAGCAGTCACTTCGCCCGGATGCGTGTATGTGGGTCACCAGCTGATCATGGAGAAACGTGAGGTAAACAAAACAAACAGCGTCCCTTGTTCAAGGCATTTTTGTTGAGCGCAGACAAGCACGGCCCCGGTGTTTTGTTATAAACTGCACCAATTCCAGTTACAAAAATCCAAATCTGAGTTTCTTTCGATTTCGAAAGGATGACGAAAGGTAAAATTGTCTACTTAAATAAGAATATATTTTGATAAATACAAAAGTATAGGATCAGAATAATGATAATGTGATTGTGGTCCTATCAGACTGCCACTCTATGCACAAACTCAACACAGTTCCAACTTTGTTATATCAGCTATCAATTGCTTTTTTTCCCGGAGACTAAATGCCCGAATTGAGCTAATAAATAATATATATATATTTATTAGATATAGGGCAATTCTCCTGAAAACTTGAATTTGCACATACCCTTTACTACTGACATCATAAACAGTTTTCTATATTTCAAATCATAGTTAAGATGAGCTAAGCTGGTGGCGAAAAGGTTGGCAAACCTAGACTAGGAAGAAAGTATGCTGCAATAGTGTGGGCCTTTATAGTAAAACAAAAAATCGGCATTTTAAAAATATGAAAACGTAACATTCCCCAGAGACAGTTTTTATCCGATGATTTCTCTAAAAATTGTCTGCATCTCATTTTCGTAATTAAAGGTAAATACTGATCTTAAGTATACCTTTCAGGGAAACCGACTCATACAGGCTGATAGTGGTCCATTTCTTCATACAAAGGACAGAGAACTCGATCTTAAACGTTACACGCCTCGTCCGAAAAATAATAAAAAGCAGTAACCGTATCTTCAGTTCAATCGATAGTTTAAAAAGTGTACTTTTTCACAGTAGAACTAAAAATACGACCACTTTAGTAATTTCATTCCCCAAGAACAAAACTACTACACCGATTACGAATTTTTGGCGGTAAATAGTCGAGTCTGCGAATTTTTGTCACGTTGTAACGATTAAGGTCTGCGTCTTACTTCCGCCGGAAGTTGCTCGAAATTTTAGTGCGGTGATTTCCAATCAACTTGGCTTTCAACTATTCCCCAGCAAAGACGATATCGTCTATGGAAAGTGAATATGAATGACTTCGTCACTCAATTTTAGCGGTGTAACGATTAAGATGTGAGTAATGCTTAAGACTTGAATTGCCTTAAAATCTGCTTTATTTGCTATATGACTGCAACATTTGAGATTCATAGATAAAATCTATGAACCCCTCAAGGAAAGGGATGAGTTTCGATCCAAAACAAGGATTGCTGTTTTTCATAGTGTTGGTTGTTTCGAAACGGAAATTGGACAAAGTGTTTGATTTCGTCTTTGTAACGATTTAGACTTTGTCTTTGTGTTTAATCTTCATAGAATGAGTGACTACTTTTAGAGTTTTAATTTAAGGCTTTCATTCCTTGATGCCACATTTTTCTTTCTTTGAGGCAATTGAAGTTGACAGCTTGTTATCCTTGTTAAACAAATAAACAAGGATAAGGAAGCTTGGCTCGGTGTTTCAAATATTTTTGCAGATAGACTCTGTCAAGGGAATACAAAGTATATTGATATGTCCTATTTTGTGTAATGTCATACTGTAGGGTTGGTGGTGCAAGACGAGGTGTAAACACAAGGAACAAGGCGAAGAGGGCTATGCAAGCGATATGACGTCGTATGAGATTTCTCATGTCAAGTTAGCTTCACTCGAACATGAACAGAAAAAGATTAGCGCCGTTTCTCCTGACCGACGAGATAACTCCTAATATAAAAGAAAGAAAGGAGTAGGCGAACCCGATTAATGAAATGCGTCATTAGTTTAGTGAATTTCACGACTTGAAGAGAAATTTACCAGACGACTAAAGCAGATTTGTTGATTCAGTTTGAATGAGTCGGGATTCCTTTTTCTATCCGCATGAACTGTTCATGGTGAAACCCACCTTCAGGACTACTAACTTCAGACATTGTATGTCGACGATTGAGAAAGAAAGAATGAGAGAATGATAGAAAGAGTGGTAAGAAGGGAATGTTATGGAGAACCGATGGATAGATAGATCTTGATCTACAAAAACTGAAAAGACGCCAATTCTGAAATGTCTTGTTTTGAATACAAATAAATGCATTATGTGCTTTGATTTTCTTTTTCTTTTTTTTTTGACAAACAGTTTTCACCAACCATCCTCTTTTTCCTTTCTTTTTATCATCACTGAAATTATGTAGATCTACAGTCTAGTGTCAAGAATAATGTCAATTATGTGCTCGTGTGTACATTTCAAGCGATGAAAGCGATTGTACATCGGCCGGAATTTCTCCTAACATCTCCTCGCTTCGTGCTGTTCTTGGTATGACTGGTAACGTTTGTCTTTCCCTTTTAAAAAAATTGATAGCTCCGCCCATGCTACTTCGATTAGTCCACAGTGTGGCTTTATCCTCAGTTTTAATCAAAAGTTAATGTTGGTTACACGGACTAAATCATTTTTGACTAAAGTTTCGATAAAAAGTGTTGTTCCAATAATATTTAAGACAAAGTAGCTGATTGTATCGTCTTGGACTATGATGAGACTAGTAAGACCACTTAAATGATGAATGATATCGTTTTATATTCACTTTATTCATATATATTCTAAAACAAAATGTGTGACTACTTTTTCTGCTGCAAATTATTTCAATAAAAGAAAACAAAAAAGTAATGCAGCATAATCTTATTTTGACCAAACATAGCACGGGTTAATCTCTTTCAATTCAGTTGGAAAACTGATAGATACATTTTTTTTTCATCTACCGCTGCCGCTCCCACATTCTCTTTCCAACCTTACAGTACTATAGGTGCGTGCTCTGCGCTAGAGATCTCTGAATGCATTGCTTTCAAGTACCAATATTCCGAAAAGAAATACACCGAGTTTATTACAATAAAGTTTACAACTGAGCCAACTAAGGAATGCCAGGACCGATTAAAGAAAAGCAAAGGGTGATATTGATGTGCAATTGTAAAGAGCTGAAGAAGTTCGGCTCGGAAAAGAAGATGACCAATGAACAAGTTAAGAAATGTAGGAAAAAAACAAGAAGTAAAAACCACACATTGGCTACCACTACCATTAGCAAAGTTGCAATTTGCGAGTTTGCTGGGCTAGTGATAGTAAAGAAAAAAAATGGAAAAGCTACGCAAGAGAGGTAACAGCATCCTGGTCAAGTCGGAAGGAAAAGGCAGACAATGCTTAGGCTAGAGAAAGGTACCATAAAAAAAAGGAAAAGTGTGAAGACTCAGATAAGAAGAAAAAAGATGTCCAAGATATTGGAGGAAGTATCAAACA